AGCACCCAGGAACACCAGCCCAGGAGTGGTACCACCCACAGTGTGTGGGGGCTCTCCCACATCAATAAAGAAAACACCCCACAGGCTTGCTCACAGAGCAATCACGGGTAGTGGCATTTTTCTCAATTGAGGGTCCCTCTTTCCAGATGACTCCAGGTTTGTGTCAAGTTAACAAAAACCAACCAGGACAATTATTAATCGGGAACATAGCCCCCACAGACCCGACTGAAGGAGGCGATTTCTTAACTGATGCTCCTTCTCCAGTGTGCCCCCCAAAGGCCTTTCCTGGGCTCTCACCGCTGCTGTCTAGGATTCCTTCAATCCTGCTGCCTGCATGCCATCACAAACAGTACCATGTGGGACTCTGACACATTACTAAGTTTGGCTACCAGTTTGAGATGCTGCCTAAGACCCCAGCTTCTGTGTGCTGGCTGTAAAAGATTTTGCTGCAACGAGTCCTGCTCCCCTAAGTCAAAAATGGTTTTTGTTGAAAACATTTGTATTCAATAAATTCTGGACATTTTCTTCTTCCCCAGTTCCTCCCATATCCTCCCTACCAACCCAACTCCAACCCCTTTATTTCTCTCTCTCCCTTTACAAAACAAAGAGCCAAATTAAAAAAAAATCAAACAAGGATTCTTTTTGTCAAAAATGAAAAAAAAACCCACACACAATGAAAACCATAATATACAAGCAGAAGACAAAGCCCCCCCCAAAAAAATCCCTAAACAAAGCAATATGAGAACAAAAAGTCTACTAAAATAACATTGAATTTATTTGGTGTTGGTCCTCAACTGATGGGCATGAGGTCTACCCTTAAGTATAATTAGACACTAGTGGAGAAAACTAATTTTCCTTTGCAAGAGGTGTCAAGTGCAGATAACTTCTTCGTTGGGGTGGGAGCAGTGTCTACTTCCTCCTCTTAGTGCTGGGGTCTCGTCTAGCTTGAACCCGGACAGCCCTGTGAGTGCTGATTGAGGCTGGTCTCTTGTTAATCACAGCTGATTTTCCAGTCCCTGATAACTAGCTTCAATTGTTCCAGGAAAAAAAAAGATGTTCCAGAAGGTTTTACTTCTACAGATTCTTAACCCAAGATATTACACAAATGGCTCTGATAGATTTTGCTTCCCTTTGAAACTTCACAAGCCAAGTCTCCAGTTGTCTGAACCTCTCTCAACATCCCTATCTTCAAAGATCGTGAAGTCCTCAGTAGTCAACAGCCTTTTTGAGCACAAAACTTCAAAATCCTTCCACAATCCTCCCAAAGCCAACATGGTCAGGTTCAGCACAGCACATTCCTGGTACTGATTTTGTCCTATTTAATTTTCCTTTTGCTGCGATAAACACCAAGGCCAAAAGCAACTGGAGAAGAAAGGAGTTTGTTTGACTTATAGTTTATATAGTTCATCATCTGGGGAAGCTAAGGCAGGAACTCAGGACAAAAAGTGAAGCAGAGCCCAGTGAAGGAATGTTGTTACACTGGTTTGCTCAGCTACCTTTCTGATACAGCCTAGGCCCTCTTGCCCACAGATAACACTGCTCACAGCCGGCTGGGCCTTCTTATATCAATCATTAATCAAGTAAGTGCCCCCCACAGACATATCCATAGTCCAGACCAATAGAGGCCATCATCCTTGTGAAGTCAGCTTGGCCTACATGAGACCAGGGTGGGGTAGGAGTGGGTGGGTAATGGGCGTGGGGGTGTCTCATTGAAGTGTCATTCTCAATTGAGGTTTCTTTTTCTATTATTCTTAGTTGTATAAATGGATCGGTCTAGGATTCCTTTTTGGGTGTCCCCTGCCCCCCACTCCCTCTGCACAGCCCATGTCATGTATTCCAGGCTGACCTCTAACTTGCTATATATTTAGGGATGGTGCTGAACTCCTGATCCTCCTGTTCTACCTCCTAAATGTTGGGCTTACTTGTGTGAGCCACTGTATCCGATTTAGACCATGCTGAGGTAAAAACAGAGTTTCCCATAGACCATATAAGCATTTTACCATCTGAGTTAGCTCCTTGGGCCCTTGAAGCTTGTTTCCAGAATAAAACACACCTTCTGACTGAACACACACCAGAAATGGATCATTAGCTTTCCTCTATTCCACTCCATCGATTTTGTCTGCACAGTCACGGAAAAACACATGCTTATTATTGAAGGCCTGCCTCACATTACCATAATTGGCTGCACAGATACGCTAGATGTAAAGATTGTTAACTTTAAACCTGCACAAGAGATGTGGTCAGGATGTTTTTCACTACACAGCAAGAAGTCCTGTTAATTCGGGGAATCTAAGTTTAACAACACATTAATGACACAGAACAACAAATCTATGGGCTATCTCATACTCAGAGCGTAACAGTGACAAACTTCCTCTTATTATGATGACTATGGTATTTACCCACATTCCTACACAGAATAAGCAATGCCCAGAAAGGAAGGGGTTACTCCAAACTGTCAAAATGTTTCACCTGGCCTATAGGTTGTCCTTTTCCATAAATATTCTCTTTAACTAGCTCTGGCTCCACAAAAACTTCCTATTGGCCAAGAGTGGATCACATGGTCATGCCTATCTTTCTGCAAGAGAAAAAAGGATTGCGGGATTAGTTTAGATCTATATTTCTCAGCCTTGCCTGTGTCTTGACGTCGCTTGGAAACCTTGGAAAGACAATTACAATGCCTGGCAACAGTGTGTCTCCAATATTCCCCAGCTGTTCCAAATGTATCCCCGAAGTAAATGCTACTGTGTCAGCCTAATTAAGTTTCGCCGCAGCCTGCACCCTTGTGGGGGGTCCATTCTGTGCTGGAGTAGAGCAAACACGGGAACAAAACCGAGGCTTTGACACCGAGGCTTTGACGCTGAGGGTGCAGAACCAGGTTTGCCGCCACAGCAACTGGGAAGATTGTTGAGCTCAAGAGTTCCAGACCAGCCTGGGCAACGCAGCAGACTCCCTCACAAAACAAAACAAAAATGTAACTGATAAGGATAGGTCTGGGACCCAACATTGTCATGTTGGAAGTACTTTGACACATTTCAGTTTCCAAGATTATTGTGACAGTGCCCTCCTCCTAGGTAAAAATAAGGACGTGCGCCACCACTATTCCACGCTAGCTTTATCATGGTATTTAGAAGGCTCCAACTTGTTTGCGTAGTGCTTTGCCATCCTACAAGCTGGGAGTGATGTACTATGCCTGATGTTTCTAGCCTCTAAACACTCAGGAGGCTCAATATTTATTACATGAACAAATGAGAGATCAGGTGAGCTAATAGGCAGTGCCTAACATTAAGCATTTACCTAGCATTTATATGCCAGGTACTAAATAAAGCTATGCAAACTGAATGCTTTACTTACTCCTTCTAAAGTAGGAGCCACTCTTTTTTTAAAGCCAATATTTTTCTTAAGCATAACAAAACCATCTCACAGAGACTAATTACTTGTCCAAGGTCACATACCAGAAAGTGATAATCATGGGACTGGGCCTCACAGAGACTAAATTACAGACTTCACTGAGTTCTTCGCCTTTTTCACCCAAGAGAGCAAAGGGTGGAACATTTGGGTAAGAAGAGATGGAGACCTCTCCAGTGGACCCTATCCCAAAAGAGGAGGGGGGCAAGACTGCTACCATTCTAAGAATTACACACACACACACACACACACACACACACACACACACACACACACAGAGAGAGAGAGAGAGAGAGAGAGAGAGAGAGAGAGAATCAGACACATGTGATATATAGATATGTCATTCTCAGATTTTATAGAGGAGGGGAGAGAAAGAGACAGTGAGTGACCCGTGACCTAAGGATAGAAATGAATAGAAACAGAAGAATCCACCTTTCCCCCAAAGGTTAGAGCATGGAGTGGAACTTTCCATTCATGAACAAGAAAAACCAAAAGACTTCAGCTATGGTTTACACGTGACAAGCAATTACCTGTGCTTCAGCGCTGGCCCTGCGATTTGCAGAGAACACTCCCATCTACTGCCCACATCCCTGGAGAATCAGGGCTCCAATTCTGACTTATGGACTATTATCTTAGATACAAGTCATCATTTGGCCATTTTCCCCAAACCTGTCCCTCCTCTTCCTATCCCCTATCTGGCCAGTGGAGCCATCACTCACCCAGCTTCTTATGCTACAAAACCTGGAGGTCTCCCAAGATTCCTCCCTCCCTCCCCTCCTTTATATCCAATTGGCAACTGAGTTTTATGGATTCGATTTCATAAATCTGCAACCTGTTCATTCATTCATTAAATATTCATTGTGTACCAGGAGTATACAATGATGGACTGGATGAGACACCCCCAACCTCCAGCTTCCAGCAGCTTACCATCTTAATGGGGGCATTTTGCAAATGAAGAACTCATTCATCAGCCAGAGCAGTCAATGCAAGAAACAGGTAAGTAGAGTGCTGGGAGGGAATACTGGGGGTATGTAATTCATGTCACCCTAATGTGTGGCTACGACAAGGGGGTCTCTTTGAAGTGCCCAAGTGGAGATGTGAAAGCTGCGTGCGGTGTACCAAGTGAGGGGAGGAGTGGCGGGGTGGGGGTAGGCAAGTGCAAATTTCTGGAAGCAAGAGCAGACTAGCGTGGGAAACCAGGCAGTTCACTAAAACTGCAGGGATTAACCTCCCTGCCGCTCGGCTCTGCTCTCTGGCCAGGTCTTGATCCAGTAACTCCACAGCTCAGGGGCTTTGCACTCTAGAAGAAACGAGCCAGCTCCGCCCTCCCTGTCGCTGAAGGTCTATGCTGCAAGTCTCCCATGCCCTGGTCACTGATTGACGGAGTATTTACTGAACTCCTCCTCTGGGCAGCTACCCTGTTAACAACGGCCTCAAAGGTGCTTCCACTCTTCAGAAGGTTTTGAGCCACTGAAGACAAATCGTGAGGGAGCAATTCAGGAGTGCTGGAAACTGACACATAAGATGTTAACGACCCTTTAAAGACCCATCTGCCTGGCTGCCCACTGCTCACTTGGGGCCTCCAGGCCTGCTACCTGCTGGTCCTTTCGGAAGGATGACCGAGTGTTCTATTCACTGCCCGGAATGTCTCCTCCCCTCGCCCAAGGCCATTGCCCGACTCCGGCCAGCTCCAACACCGCGTCCTTCTCGCGTGGCCACACTCATCGGCGCGCAGCACCGCCGAGGGGGCTGACGCGCGCGCGCGGCCAGGAGGCTCCTGGGGGCAGACGCCATCCAGCCTCCCCGGAGCCTGGTGACTACCCCAGAGCAGCCGTCTCCCTAAGAGACCCCCACGCTCCGGCCGGAGAGCACGCGACAGGGGTGACGGCCCCGCGCACGCGTGGGCGCAGCCTGGAAGCCGCGGGGACCCTAGCCCATGGGAACGAGAGGGGACGTTCTGCAGGAAGACCTCGGTCGGGTGGTCTTGCTCCCCGCCCTCACCCCTCCCGGAGCCCCAGAGGGGACAGGCGGGGACGAGCCCTGGCGGGGACGCGCGCTTCCATCGCCACGGCCGAGGTCCCCGCAGTGGCGCGGGATGGCCGGAGGAGGGGCCGAGGGCGGGGCGGTCATAGCCTCCGCCACTCCCGGCCCCCCCCCGGTGGCGGAGCGCCGCCTCCCCGGTCGTCCTCCCCCACCGCGCGCGCTCCACCCGCCCCGGAGCCTCGCCCTCCGCCACGATGAGCAAATGAGCGCGAGCGAGGGCATGAAATTTCAATTCCACTCTGGGGAGAAAGTGCTGTGCTTCGAGCCTGACCCCACCAAGGCGCGAGTGCTGTACGATGCCAAGGTGCCGCCGCCGGGGGGACAGGGAGGAGGCGCGGGTCTGGGCCCCCGGGGATGGGAGGCAAAGGGGCCAGCGGAGGACAAGTGGCTCGGAGCACTGGACAGCCACCAGGGTGCGCCTCGGCCTGCGCAGAGCGGCCCGGGACGGCAGGGGACGCTGACGAGACGCGTGACGCGCTCAACTGCCCTAACTTGGAAGGACCCTCGACCCTTCCGTTTCTACTTCCGCTTCCGGTCGTGGCGCGTCGCATAGGCGCGGTTGCTAGGCCGGGATGGTGCTTTGATCGCTGGGCGCCAATTCGGGCGCCCGGTTTAGGAGGACTGTCGCCTGAGGCCTCTGCTTTTGCGATAAGTCCATGTCCGCTGCGGTTCAGCGCCGCGTGGGCTCCCTAGAGGACACCCTGACCAATTGACCCACCCACGTCCTCAACCCCTCAACCCTGGCCTCAGTTTCTTGGCAGCTGTCAGGAGGCGACGTCATGGTCCCCGGACCCGAGTCCAGTTTAAGATCACAGGCAGTTAACTCTCACCCTGGGGGAGGGGCGGCAGGAAGGGGCTCAGGGTGGCTTAGTCGCTTTGACATCCGCAGTTTCTAAAGGATTTGTAGGAGACCGACAGAGCTAGGAGAGAATTGAGCATCGCCTGTATCCAGCTCAGTCAGCCGAGGTTGAGCTGTATCTTGCAGTTGTCAGTTTTTAAGTGGAGGGCAGGAGAGGTCACCTAAGTGCTCCGGTGCCCCCAAGAGGGTGAAAATCAGCGCGCTGGGGGTCGGGGCGAGCGTCAGTGTTTCCAGCCACCAAGGCGAAGTCCTTGGTGGCGGAGACAACTTGGAACAGCCCCAGGTGCGTCTTTAGCGATGTTTAAGCGGTGCTGTCCTGTGGGCCACCCTAAAGTCTGGGCTGGGTTATGTGTCTTTGGTCTCTCCTACAACTCTAATCACTGTTTAAATCCTTTCGCCGTCCCTCAAGTTTGCTGCGTCGCTAGGGGAGGGAAGGATACGCTGATGTGCCAGAACTTCCCTCTGGCTATTAAGGGGAGGGGGAGAGTTGTGGAAGTCTCTGGCAAGCTTGACTGGACACCGGACAAGGCAAGGCCAGGGTGACTACAACTCCCAGAGGTCTCAGGGCTTCTAGTTCTAGTCTGGGTCCTCGCTAATGACAAATCTACCGACCAATGGTTTCAGAATGCTTCACCCGGTCTCAAACTCAAGAGACCAATCGTGGGTTGGTTGGACGGATGTTTCCTATTTTGAGGCAACCACTCAGGCAAAAGAAAAAAAAAATGTTGAAGAATGTTACAACCTTGCTCTTGATCTAAAAAGGGAACAAATTCTTTCTTTTCCTTTAAAAAGGGACTGTGATCTAGTTTTTTTTTAAACTTATAATTTTAACATAATTTTTGGTTTATTGTGCCACTCGTGAGCCGTATTTCCTGGTTTCAGATCGTCGATGTTATTGTCGGGAAAGACGAAAAGGGCAGAAAGATTCCAGAATATCTGATACATTTTAATGGTTGGAACAGAAGGTGAGTGAACTTGTTATAATCAGACTAAATATTAATTGCTTTTGTAGCATACTAGTTTTGTAACTTTAAGATTTAGAAACACTTGTAGAAAAGTTTAATTTCCTGCTTCTGCTTTGTTTGGGAAGCTTTCGTATTCTGAGGCATGCTTACTAAAGTAAATCAGCTACTTGGATTACCTGTGGGTAATCAGTGGAAACCCTGGTGACTGTAACTGAGTTCGCTTTGTGCTTCTTTGCTGCCCTCCTGGTGATTTGGAAGTCTTCATATGGCTTTCTAAAATATTAGCAACTACGGGGCACTTCTTCGTGATGCTTTTCAGGATTAGTTTCATTTGATTCGAAATACTGACTTTTACATCCTCTTCCGTTTTCCAACTAGTTGGGATAGATGGGCAGCCGAAGACCATGTGCTTCGTGATACAGATGAAAATCGGAGGTTACAGCGTAAATTGGCCAAAAAAGCAGTAGTTCGCCTGTAAGGATACAAAAACTTTGATGGAAGTGTTATTCAGTATGGTTTTTTTGTTTTGTTTTGTTTTGCTTTTTTAAACTGTTTTGGATTTTTATGATATAAAAGTAATGAAGTGATAGATTTCAGTCATCTTACATATTTAAAGTAATTGAGTTTCTATAGTATTCTAAAGACTCATAGATGTTTTTCAGAATGAGTGTTGTCCATTTGGTAATGAGGATTACCGTTGTGTTTTAAAATTTGATTTTCGAATTATTATTTATCATGTCCTGTGTCGTTTTCAACTCCTATACTAGACTGAAATTTTATTTTAATTGTGTTTATTGTTTTCAGGAGAGGTACAGGAAGAAAGAAGAGACGCTGTAGGTTACCTGGTGTCGACTCTGTCTTAAAAAGTGTGCCAATTAAAGAAAAAACTCAAAATGACGAAAACAGTGAGTGTCTTGACTTTATTTTCCTCAACTAAAACCATTTTCATGTAATGTTTTTAGACCTCAAGATTGAGAGCAAGAATCATTGAAATTATAGACAGGGAAATAGTGCAAACTCATAACGTACAGATGTTCTCCAGTTTAAGATTTTGTTGACTTTATGGTGGTATGAAAATATACTATTTTCTTGTTCCAATTTCAGTAAATATGCAATAAAATGCATGAGCTATTTAGCACTAGCATAAAGTAAGCTTTGTTTCAATGAGTTTGCCCAATTGTTGGCTAATGTATGTGTTCTGAGTTCATTTAGAGTAGTCAGCTGTGATATTCAGTACGCTACCAGTATTTTCATCAGTTTAGGTGTGGCTCCATCATAAGTGAAGGAGCAGCTTTGTACTATGCGCTCGGTTTATTTTAGGTCATTACAGCGGCAGTCAGTCTGATCAGTCAGCATGTCGATAGAAGACTCTCAGAGTCTCAGCAGTGACCACCTTCATCTCAGCCAGGGAGCCCGCACAGATCCTTGCTCACAGTCCATTCTCTTCTTGATACCTCCAGGGCCTTGCCACCACTTAGGACTCCAACAGTGAACCATAGGATCCTAGTTGGTGAAACACTTTCAGATCATTAGCTCGTGTGGTTTTTGTATCCATTGAAATTGGAGTTATATTTATCAAAATAAGTTTCTGTTCCGAAAGGTACAGTATTTGTGTTTAGGATTTAAAATGTATGCAGAACTACAGACCGTTCCTCTTAGTCAAGTGCATGCGCCACCTAAAAAATTTGCAAATGTAAGAATTGTCAAAGTATAGAATATGAGTTTGTCTGATGGTTTTGTTTTATGTAGCAATAAGCAGTACCTGTCAGGACAGCTGTGGCGGAAAGAATGAAGAACTAAAAGAACATCGCCAGCGTCGTATTAAAGTAAAGACTAAAGCGGTACTAAAAATTTTTTATTGTAGAAGCTTTGATATTTATGGGAGTGGCAAATTTCTTAGGCTAGGAGTTCTTTCCGAAAGACGTACCATTCAGACCGATAGTATGAATGTTTTGTGACTAAAGAAAAGACAGCATGTTTGTAGTCACTGTGTGAGCATCATTTACTTTTTATACCCACAGAGGGTTTCCACACATTAGACGTCTTTTTAAAGTAAGATTGTGAACTATATTTTATAATGACTAATTTTTAATGGTGCATAACAGAGATTGGTCTTTGCTTGCCTCCAAGTTGGACATAAGCCCCAAGGGTAATCATAAATGAGGAAGAAACAAAAGTGAACTTGTAATGTTGTTAATGCTGTGAAAAACACTTGAAAATGTGGCATAGTACCTTTCTGTCTTGTCCTTTCATACAGGACATGTGGCATGAAGTGACTCCTGTGACTTAACTAGCTTGTTGCATAGCAGACTCTTATGTGGGGACCTCTCCCATTGTTCTCATTAATTAAACAAATGGAACTGTGATATTGCAGAAAAAAAAAGTGTTGTCGCTGCGCTCAAGAAAGGACATGGATGAAAGAACAATAACCATAGATATCCCTGAAGTTCTCAAGAAGCAGCTCGAGGATGACTGTTACTATGTCAACAGGAGGAAGCGGGTATGCTGGAGGAATGGATTCTTTGGGATGCTTTTACTTGGTTGTATTTGGTAGTCACAGTGTCAAACACCAGGCAGTATGGAAGGGTGGTAGTTTCGTTTCCAGTTTTCTCCTCAGTCCAGTGTTGTTGGTGGTTTTACTGTTAGCTCTTTGACTCTTTTGGGAGCCCGCCACCCAGCTCTGAAGTAAATACACACAGAGAGGCTTTTTCTTTCTTATAAATGCCTGACCTTATTAAATTATCCCATCTGCCTTTTGCCTCTGGGCTTTTACCTTTCTCTGTTTCTGCATATCTTTCTTCTTGCCCCATGGGTTGTTGTATAGCTGGGTGGCTGGCCCCTGAAGTCCTCCTCTTCTCTTTCTCCTAGATCTCTGCTCACATATTTTTCTTCCAATTTATTCTCTCTGCCTGCCAGTCCTGCCTATCCTTTCTCCTGCCTTGCTATCGACCGTTCAGCTCCTTATCAGATCAGTCAGGTGTTTTAGGCATGCAAAGTAGCACAGCTTTACAGAGTTGAACAAATGCAACATAAAAGGACGCAACACGTCTTTGCATCATTAAACACATGTTCCACAGCTTAAACAAATGTAACACATCATAAACTAATATTCCCCAACAGTCCAGTTATAAAATTGACTAACAGTGGTGCTGGGTTCTTGCATAACTTAAGACTTGTATACCTTATACTGTATACTGTACATTTGAGCCCCTCAGGAGCTTTCCAGAATTCTGATACCTGGGCTCCAACTATGATTAGGATTTATGCCAGGAGTGATGGCGCACATGTTGAAACCCAGCACGCAGAAGGCAGAGGGAGGTATTGATCTCTGTGAGTTCAAGGCCAGCCTACTCTACATAGAGAGTTCCATGAGAACTATATAGCACACCCTCTCTCTAAAAGAGAAGTGCTACGATAGATTAGGATTTAATTGCTAGGGTAGGGGCACATCTCTTGGTAATACTTTGAGAGATTTTTCCCAAAATTCTTAAGATAACGCTAAGCCTGAGAATCATCACTTGTGTATTCAAAATAATAAGACAATAGTAGTATGTGAGTATGATCAGTGCAAGGAAGGATTATTAAAGAGCTTCTAGACATATTTAATTGAGAAGTTCTTAAGCAGAATTGACAAAGTTCAACTGATAGAGCCATAGCTATTCCTACTTGGAATATATGTTTGATTATAATGGGATGTGTGTATCAGATGTTTATCTTTTTCTTAACAGTTAGTGAAACTTCCATGCCAGACCAACATCATAACAATTTTGGAATCTTATGTGAAGCATTTTGCTATTAATGCAGCCTTTTCAGCCAATGAGAGGCCTCGTCACCATCATGCCATGATGCATGCACATATGAATGTGCACTATGTCCCAGCAGAAAAGAAGTGAGTGATTGGGGTAGTCTTTGGATTCTGTCTTTGGTTGTGTTACTGTTATTGTTAGGTTTCTTGTTTAGTTTTGGAGTGTGTGAGTGTGTGTGCATGTGTGTGGTACAGGGATTGAACTTTGCCTTCATGCATGCTAGGCCAATGCCCTTCCATTCATCTATACCCTCAACTTTTTCTTTGTGTATTACAATTTCGAACAAGGGATCGTTCTCTTTGTTCAGTTTTATTGAATTCGTCTCTTATTTCATAGCTGACTTGCTGATTGTTCATTCAGTTGTCAGTGTGCATGAAACTATTGTGATTTTTGTGTAGTGTTTGATAATTCCACATGAGACCTGGCTTTATTAAGCATCCCCTTGTCGCCAAGACCAATATTTTCAGGGATACCACTTTGGACAAGAATTGTCTACTTGAGGAAGTAGAATGGGCAATGAGAACTGGATAGAAGGTTGCTTATGACTGATCAGTTTTTAAAATGAATTTATGCATGCATGTGTTTGAGTGTATGTGTGCCATGGCATCCATTTGAAGGTGGGAGGACAAGCTGTGGTGTAAAGACCTCACCTTCCGCCTTGTTTAGGACAATCTCTAGTGTTTACTGCTGGATACACCACCCTGGCTGGCCTCTGAATTTCCAGAGGTTTGCCTCTCTCTGTATTTTGTCTCCTCGCAAGAACTCTGGGATTACAGATTTGTACACTACTGCATCTAGTTTTTAAGTGGATGTTGGGGATCCAGACTCAGGTTATCAGTCTTGTACAGCAAGCGATTTTACCCACTGAGTCATCTCCTCAGCTCCAAACCATTCTTTTTTCTAGTCAGAGTAGAGTTCCTCAAATCCTACTATACCATCATGTCTTGGCAGGACCAGTGTTAGGGATGTATAGAATTATGATTGAAACAGGAGCCAAGAGCACTGGACTGCTGGGATGCCTCATGTTGTAATAAACCTGTTCATTTGTGTTATATGGATACATTTAAGTTATTACCATACAGCCTGCATTTTATATTAGGGTCTATATTTCTGTGTTTTTTATTATTAGCATCTATAGATTGTATTTATTCTTTTTATATGTAAGTGAATATATAAGGTTTTAAAAGTGCCCTCAGCTGCATGGCACCTACCTTTAATCCCAGCACTCACCAGGTAGGGTCAGGTAGACCTTTGTGAGTTTGAGACTAGCCTGATATACATAGTGAGTTCCATGCCAGCCAGGACTACATAATGAATACCCTGCCTCAGAATGAATGAATGAATGAATGAATGAATAAATAAATAAATTTAAAAAAAAGTCTGCTCTCTTAAAAATATACTTTTATTGTGAAGCTTGGAAAATCCCTGTGACTTTACAGAGTCTCTAATCTTTTCTTTCTCAATCCTCCTAGTGTTGACCTTTGTAAGGAGATGGTGGATGGATTACGAATTACCTTTGATTATACTCTCCCATTGGTTTTGCTCTATCCATATGAACAAGCTCAATATAAAAAGGTGACATCATCTAAATTTTTTCTTCCCATTAAGGAAAGTACCACCACAACTAATAGGTGAGTTAGACAACATGGAAGTGTACCTTCATCCTCGGGTGTCAGCACTGACGTGACTGAGTTCCTTTTTTGAAGTATTTGATCTGCTGCTATTGGGGGCCTGAATGTTTGGAGGCAGGGAAACCACCGGTTCTTTTTACTGTTGCTTTCTTTTTATTTATGGGTTAGCTAGATCATCACTCCCATTCTCAATGGGTGTGTAAGATTTTCCCAAGGAAACATTTCAGGGTAGCCAAGCATAATGGCATATGCCTGTGAGGCAGAAGGACTGCTATGAATTTGGGGACAGATGGTCTCTAGAGGGGAGTTCAGCAAGACCAGGGCAAACAAAAGATTCCTGAGTAGATAGAACTTTGTCAGTGGATTCTGAGCAGCTGTCCTATCGTTCAGAAGGCAGTGGAGAGGGTGAAGGCAACATGGGCCAGAAGGGAAGCGGAGGTACAACTGACATCCTTCATTGCTGTTAGCTATGTGATTTGGGTCAGTGTTTATAGAGCCTCTTGCCTACTATTTGTAGTATGGAAAGAATGCCTGTCTCCCTGGTGGGTGGAAGTTCACGATATTGTTCACAAGGGGCCAGCAACCTTTGCCGTAAGTATAGGTTAGTTCCCTACTTTTCTTTCATTTCTGCTTTTCTTCCTTCTGTAACTAAGAGTACTTAAGCCTGTTCTCTGGCAGAGGGTATGAGGATAGATCCCTCCTTACCTAAAGTCTTTTCCCTTAATCTAAGGCACTCTGCCATGCACTCTTCCTTCTCTTCCTTAATGTTGTACAAGGATCTAAAAACCAGTTCACAAGTCTAGCTTGGTGAGAGAATGAGTTTAACCAGGACCAGTTCTAGGACCATGTGCTACTTCCAAGTAACTACAGCACTGGGGAATAGCCTCCCTCTCCCCACAGGCATTAACTGCTGGAGTATCCTCAGGCAGGGGAGACCTCTGTGTGCTTTCTGAGCCCTACCACCTTTCACAAGGGAATATTAGTTATGAGCATCTCATGTGGGTCATCATAGCTGCTCCGATTCCAAGCTGGCAATGATCTTGCCATGCTCAGAGGACTGAGTTCTCTAGCACTAAGAGTAGCATCCCTCTATGTTTGACCACTCAGCATCTGCTCTGCTCTCATCTACAGCTATCTTGCTAACTCTCATTTCCTGTTCCCTGCATTATTCTGCATTCGCTGCCTTGCTGCCTTTCTTTTCTCTCTCTCTCTCTTTCCCTCTCTCCCTCCCTCCCTCTCCCTCTCTCCCCCCAACTCACTCTCCCTCTCTACCATCTTTTTGGTGGCCTCTCTCTCTATCATCTTTTTGGTGGCTTCTCTCTCTCTCTTCCCAACTCACTCTCTACCATCTCTTTTCGGTGGACTTTCTCCTCCCTTCCTCTCTCCCTCCCTCCCTTCCTCCCTCTCTCCCTCTCTCCCTCTCTCCCTCTCTCCCTCTCTCCCTCTCTCCCTCTCTCCTCTTTTCCCCGTGTCACTTTCACCTCAGGCAAGAGGCCGACAAAACGCACTGGGGGCCTGTATTGAAGTCATGAATGGCCTACTTCACACCTGATGATTCCCTGAGTCTGGGGTAGACTTTGATAATGCTTATGCCATTTTCACATCCTGGCAAGTTTTTACATTTTGAAGACATTGCGTGATAGTCTTATTCCCTAGACCAGAATTTCTCTGTCCTAGGGCCAATCTTGGGTGATGTTGGACACTTCGCAGTATCTCTGGTCTCTAGCCACTAGACAACAGTATATCTTCCCACAGTTGTGACAACCCTATAATATCACCAGACACTGGTAACTATTTTCTGGGCTAGGGCCAACCCCCAAAAGTGCTTGTTCTAAAACATATAGAAGGGGTGTTTTAGTTTCTAATAACAGCTTGCCTTGCAAAGTTATAGTGACCTCATCTATTCAGGGACTGTTTACGAAAATGGATGTTTGAGTATACTTGGGGATATATGCCCCCCCCCCCAAGCTGGTTTGTGAAGTTGCCTTTAGGAGGCCTTACAGAAGACTTTAGAGGCTGCCAGTGACTCTGTCCTTCTTGCACAGGAGCCAGGAGGAACTGTCCCCTAGCCCGCCTTTGTTGAACCCATCTACACCACAATCCACGGAGAGTCAGCCAACTAGTGGTGAACCAGCCACTCCCAAGAGGCGCAAAGCCGATCCAGAAGCCCTGCAGTCTCTAAGGCGGTCCACGCGCCACAGCACCAACTGTGACAGGTTGTCGGAGAGTAGCTCGTCACCTCAGCCGAAGCGTCGGCAGCAAGACACATCTGCCAGCATGCCAAAGCTGTTTCTGCACTTGGAAAAGAGTGAGTTTGCTGTAAGATCCCCAGGCTGGGGAAAGCCACTTTTGCCTTTGCCTTTAGCCTTCCTAAGTATATGTAAAGGGTGTGCTATTCCTGGGCCGTCACCCACATGCTATAAGGCTACTTCATTTGAAGAAGAGGAAAACATCCATAGGAAGACAGAAAAGCAACTGGCTTGGGTAGCTCTGAGGACTGGGGAGGCAGGCCTGGATTCTGTGTTTACGGCTGCTTTCCACGCTCCCTCTCTGCTACTTGTGAGCTGGTAGAGTTATTGAAATACTCAAGGTAAATGGTGCTAGTAGATTGTTACATTTCTCTTCCTGTTTCCAAAGCTTGAGTCAAGTGTCCAAATCAGATACTGGGTGTAGCAGAGTTTTGGGTATATACTTCATATGTTGGGAAGTTCAGCATTCCAGGTGGTTTTGGGTATAGTTAGAATGGTGCAGCCATCGCCAGAATCAGTTCAGATGCCTTCTTCACAGAACAAAGATGCTCCGCGCATCTGCAGCCATTTGCTTGTCCTTCCTCCCCTCCCCTGGAAAGCAACAATCTAGGTAGCACTTTAGATTTGTTTATTTCAGACATTTTACGTAAATTGAGTAATGTAAAATGTATGTACATGATTAATAAGTTGATGGAATGAAAACTGGGATGGTTTTATTGGGAAATAAAATGCCTTTTTTTAAAATAAATTCTAAAACACGAAGTTATATCTCCCCGGCTGCCAACCTACTCCAGTTTGTTATTTTGGCGTTATTGATTTAGGCAAAAGCACATATAAAGCTATACATTTTTCAAGATTTATTTTTATTTTATAAGGATAGGTGTTTTGCCTGCATATATGTCTGTGTTCCATCGGGGTGCCTGGTACCCTTAGAGGCCAAATGATGTGTCAGAATCCCTGGACCTGAGTTAGAGAGAATTGTGAGCTGCCATGTGACTGCTGGCGATTGGAGAGAATCCAGTGCTGTTAGCCTTGGAGCCATCTCCCCCATCCAAGTTAATCGTTTTAAAGTGACTAATTTAGTGGCCCTACTTTTTAAATTTGTTGAGCTATAATCCACACTGTACAGTTTTCCCATTTCAAGTGTCCAGTCCAGTGACTTTTAATGTATTAACAGAGTTGTCCGGCCATCTCTCAATCAGTTCCAAAACATGGGAAGTTCTCCCCCAAAAAACCCATACCCATTGACAGTCACCCCACCCTTACCTCCGTAGAACCATAAATCTCCTTTCTATCCCTGGATTTGCCTATTCTACATATTACATATGAATGAAATCACAGTATGTGATTTGGGCTATGATGGGCCCGTTTCGGCTTAGCTTAACCTTTGCAAGGTTGACTTATGTTGACTTATGTATGGTATTATCAGTACCATGCTAAAAATGGTATTCCAATGCTATAAAGTTGAAGGTCATATTGGTGAAGGTTTGCAGCTTTTGAGAACTGATTTACATTTGTAGTCTAGTGTTTTTGGGGGTCCTGAGGAGTGTCTCTAGTTCGGTCACTCTGTAACTTTATGGGTAAATAATTGCGACTTTCTCTTTGGCAGAGACGCCTGTGCATAGCAGATCATCTTCCCCCATTCCTCTGACTCCGAGTAAGGATGGGAATGCTGTATTTGCTGGCTTCGAAGGGAGAAGAACCAATGAAATAAATGAGGTAGAGTATTTGATGTTCAGCTCCAAGAGTTCTCTTACCCATTGTAGTTGCTTACAGTCCTAAGTCTTGTAAGTATTATATTGCTTTACAAGAAATAGCAGCGAAAGGATACAGAGGATTCTGTTCAATAGTCTAATCAGAGAAAACTGTCAGGACTCCAGCTTTACGAGTATAATGACTTTTTACTACAAAGATTGTTTAGCTATTGAAAGACTTGTGTCTGCGTTTTCTATAGCACATCAGTCGTTAATACCTTTATTCTTAAGAGTCTGAGAGTACATATTTTAGGTTATGTGTGTTATGTCACGTGATGCCTATGAAGACAAATCAACTACAAAGTAGCCGCAAACAGTGTGTAAATGAGAGAGATGTACTATGCTTCAATGAACCATTATTGTGGACACCGAAATGTGAACAGCATGTGATATGCAAGAGCTAAAAATATCCTTTTAGTTTTCAATCATTTAAAGGTGACCTAGACCAGTAGGTCGTTCTTAGGTGCTGGGGTCCTAAGGCAGACGACCAGGAGACCCAGAAGATAAAGAGGATAGACAAAGAGAAAATAAGGGTTGGGACTGGGAATTCTTTCACAGGCTATGTGTTTACCACACAAGCTTCTTAAGAAATACAGTGGGACAAAGTCAGCTGAAACTCATCCAATGGACTGAGTTAGTGTGAAGCTAACCAAACAGTGTTGCACAAAGGGAGCCCAGGCCATCTCAAGAGCATTCCAGACCTTGAGACTGATAACCAAAATCCCCATGGTGGGCAGAGTTGGGTTCTTAGAATCGGGACTGTCCCTTCTCCATACATCAGGCCTCAGGAAGAGACTCCCAGTTGAGACAAAAAGCATAAATTTAGTTTGGGGGCAATATAGACATACACATGGATAATTGGATGAGATGTGAGCAGCAAGCTGTCGTTTCTGACTCACTTTTGACATTGATTCTCCTCCTCTGACAGTAACCTTAATAGCCATCCCTTTGAAAGCATGCTGAATGTCACCATTGGGCTGGACTTGAAGCCCATTAACTTAAAGCCTTGCCACTACAGGCTTTGTTTTAAGGGAAATGGTATTTATATTTCTTTTTCTTTAAATTGTATTCTTCTCATATACACTAAATCTTGACCCCAAAGTTACCCCTTCCTCCACTCCTCTCAGTCCCTTCTTTCATCTCCCCTCTTTCCCACAGCTACTTTTCTAGTTCCCTTAAAAAAAAAAAAAAAAAAAAAGCAAAGGCAAAGCCACTTCCACATAGGTGAATGCTGCCATCTAGTGGTTAATAGTAGAACAGGCTGCTTCGTGGTAAACAGTGGCGTTCAGCAGGCTCTAGGGACTAAAGAATCCATAGTGACTTTAAGGACCTCTAGGACTTCTTCCACAGTGGGTTTTAACCAAGACTATTTATCCAAATCCATTATAACCTTTTTTTCTATTACTATCTGCTGATTGGGAAGGGTCTGGATGAAAACTTTGCTGGTTAAGATGCACAGGTGATTCCCATTGAGAACTTGTACTAATTACCGATGCCTATCTGTGCCCTCTGATCAACACTCAATGCCAAAGCAGTTCTAAGCTTCCCCTGTGGGAGCTGGGTTAGATTTCTGATTGATGTGAAGATGCTTGTACTGGCTGCCAAGGATGAGATAGGGAATTTACATGAAGGCTTCAAGGAGCTGAAATGAAGCTGGAGCCTTCATCCCGGAGTCCCATAGCACTTGTGAATGTCTAGTTTACTTCAGGTCGACTGTGCCAACATCTCTGATGTCTTGGGGGTGGGCACCCTTCAGCTCTTTCTCATAGAGGATTTCCTGCAACATTGGTTAATAGATTAGACACATGCTTTAATAAAAGCTGTTTTGCTGGTTGATGAAGGTACTGGGAAAATCCATCAGAGAGCTCTGAAAGACGGCTCTCACTTTCAGCAAAGCCCCATGTCCATCTATAGTTCTGAAAATCAGAGGAAAGGCAAGGAAACCAATGACCAGGTTGGAACTCTGAGCTGATTCAAATTAGTTTCCATAATGATGCAAATAGTAAGGAACCAGGGACTCTCGATACTCTTGCTAGTGTTTCGTGTTTAAGGAAAAGGGGCTAAGTGATTGTGGTGGTATGCATGGGAAATGTCCCCCAGAGGCTCATGTGTTTGAACACTGGCTCCCCAGCTGGTGATGCTGTCCGGAGAGACTGTGGAACCACTAGGAAGTCAAGCTTGCTAGAAGAATGGCTCACCGGGGCTCAGCCCTTGGTCTTTATAGACTGGCCGTATTGCTGGCCCACTCTCAGCTTCCTAACTTGATGCAGTGTGAGCAGCCAGTCTCCTGATCCTGCCAGTACGGCTTCTCCACCATTATGGAATGTCTCTCCAGAAAATAGTAGATGCAGAAAAGTTTAAAATCCAATATCTTCCTAATCTAATTTGGAGTCATTCTGGTCCTCACATTTATTTTTATATTCTTGTGTTCATTAGATAACAATATGGTTTTATTCTCGCCATATGATTTACTATCAGAAGATATTGGTATCTAGAAGTGTCTCCATTTGGAATAAAGGAAGCATTCACATCATGTTTTTTGTAGGTCCTATCTTGGAAACTTGTGCCTGACAATTACCCACCAGGAGACCAGCCACCTCCCCCTTCATACATTTACGGTGCACAGCATTTGCTGCGATTATTTGGTAAGAACCCCTGTTCTTTATGCCTTCTTTCCAGTTTTCATTTCTGTTTGCATCTATTAATTACCTACAGTAGTGACTTCCACTGATCCTTTCATATGTTTATAGAATGATGCTGATCACAGTCACTTCCCCTGTTATCTCTCTTGTCCCTACTACTTGTCCTTCTATTTCCATGGCATGTGTGTATGTGTGTGCGTGCCCCCCCCCCCGAGTTTCATTCGAGTTGTTTTTAAGTGTTTATGGGTGAGGAAAGAAACAAGAGCAATTTACCAGTGGCTTCACCACTGGAAAAAATGTCTCTCCCTCTTAGCAACCATTCTCTTATAGAATTATAGATCGTCTAACTGAAGTGGGGCCTCATGATACCCTCAGCTCTATCAGCCTCATCTTTCTTGACTCTTTTTTTTTTAACCAGGGTTACTAGATTGTAGACATCTTGTAAGCTTCTAACTAATGTGGATACCAGGTTTCTGCTTCAAAGAAAAGACATTGGATGTACCTTAAATTTCATAAACGTTGTACTTACAATACGTGACTTCCCACTCTGTCCTTGTTCAGTAACTCACTGTTTGATTCTCCAGGTGTGGATTCAGCCCCCGAAGGGGAAAGAGTGGCCCAGATGATGAGCCACAGTGAGTCCTTTCCATCCTAACCTTCTGCTGATTACAAATGCTTTTGTTTTTAATCCAGTAAAACTTCCAGAAATCCTTGGGAAGATGTCCTTCTCTGAGAAGAATCTGAAGGCTTTACTGAAGCACTTTGATCTCTTTCTGAGGTATTTTTATTACCTTGTCACACCTACCTCTGCCAACAAACGTGAATTTTCTAGGCTTAACTTTAGCACGCAGGAAAAGTAGCTCTGTGGTATTTTCCATATTGTGGGGAGGGGTGTGTTCTGACTGATAGGGTAAGTAGGGCAGGATTTTTGTTTGTCTGTTTGCTGCTTGGTTTTGTGCTTCCTTTAGTCTTCATTTCTCCAGTTTCTGTGGCAAGGATACTGAGGTATGTATCATGTCACTAGAGGAATCCAGTTGGCTAACCTTGTAAGCAGAAAATGAATTTTCCTATGTAGACGTACTTAAGATTGATATTAATTTTACATTTTTCTTCAGGAGTACCATAACTAGTGGCCTTTTTTGTTGTGTGTACCTAAGTTAATTAATTAAGTTGTGTGTACCTAACTTAAATATGACTCTGAGTATATACTGACGTGTATGAATTCAGAGAAGGTGTTGCTTTCTTCACCTGATATAGCCAGTCATTTTCTTATGTAACGGAATGTTTCATCTGTGGATCTTATGCCCATCTTTCTCTCATTGTCCATTTAGTCCCTCTCTTCCATCTAGATGTCTGTTAGCTGCGTCTTTACCTTGGCCTTCAAAGCTAGCCTTCACCTTGCCACACCCAGCTCAGCTTAGCTACTAGACCTTAAGGGGTGCCATCTTCTGTCTAATGGGCTGCATTCTGACTGGTCTAGGATAGTCAAGAGTAGAGAGTACTCTACCCAGAGAAATTAGTCTTAAAGTTTGAAAAGGGATTTTCCTGTAGGGATTTTGAATAGCACGTCCTTGAACATAACTAGACTTTCCAGCCTTTTAGTGAAGAAAAGTTTTAAGAATATTCTCTTCCTTCCCAAATGCCCCTTCAGACAAACCCACAGTCACGTTTACCCTGAAACTTTGGGCACTGAAAGCAAATAGTGCTAAAACTGCAGCTTAGTATAGGGAAGCGTGCAGATTTTGAAATATTCCTCATATAAAGCACAAGTTAGGACTTTAGCGAACAACATAGAAGGTTTTATAAATAAACATAGGAAAAGGCTTTTCAAATGTATACAAGGTATGAGAGGGAAGATTGGGGTTCAATATGATCAAGGTCTGTTGCATGAAGTTGTCAAAGAGTAAATAAAAATATTCTCTGAAAAAGTAGAGAGTGGCAACAGTTCAAATCAATGAACTACACAGTGACCTTCAAGAAGGTGCAGACAGAGAAAAGCGCTCAGCCGGCAAGTGTCTTTGACAGTGCTTTCTTGTTTAAAGAGCTGTGATAGTTTAGGAATTCGGACAGGTGGGAGATAGCAGGGTGAGTGCTTCTTGCACATCTGCCTTCCACTTGTCCAGGTTCACTTGGAATTTCTTTTGTTTCCTATCTTGTGGGTGTACTTGCTTTGTTTTGTTGCTGTTTTGTTTTTTGAGATGGAGTGTCACAAGTTAGTTCTAAATGCTTGGAATGCAGACTTGAGCCACCAGGCATGACTTTCACTTGAAGTCCCATCATCAGTGCATTGCAGATTCTTGAGTGACTTGCTACATTTTAACAGCTGTCTACAGACATCCCAGTCTTTTTGACATGTTGTTGGGCTCTCATTCAGACTTATAACTAACCTCTTAGGATGGCAAGTTCGTATGTAAAGTGCTGGTATTGGATTTTCTGTTCAGTTTGGATGTAACTTTTTTCTCCTGTTTTTCTTTATTAGTGCCAGATTAATTATTTCAATTTTAATTATTCTTTTCCATATTAATCCCAGTTCTCCCTCCCTCCTTTTCTCCCAATCCTCCAACCTTCCCCCCTACTCTACCCACATTTGATCCTCAGAGAGGGTAAAGCCTCCCCTGGGAAGTCACCTAAGTCTGTCCCAGCACCTTGTTGAGACAGGACCCAGACCCAGACCAACTTAGTTTGTATAAGCCCTGTGAATTTCTTAAGTGACATTTATTGGATTTGTCATGTATTATTTTTAGAGTTTGAAAAACAGGCAAGTATTTATTGAGGTTATTTTTCACAGATGCATGTATGTAATCAGACTGTCACCTAATCAAGTTCAGGTTCTGTTTCCGTAACACTGCTGATGAAGAGATTTGGATGCACAGTGATTGACAGAAACCAGTTCAGTGAGTGCTGTGGAAGTAATCAAATAGAATCAAGACTAGAAGCAGCCTCCCTTCCTAGTGCACACAAGAGTTGAAATGTGAAAGCTGGTTGTAAGCTAATACTTAGCTACACGGTGTTCATTTCTTAGTACGATGCTCATTAGTGCCTTCTTTCTTTCTCTAGGTTTTTGGCAGAATACCATGATGACTTCTTCCCGGAGTCAGCTTATGTTTCTGCCTGTGAGGCACACTACAGCACCAAGAACCCCAGGGCAATTTACTAAAGTTTCCATGGTTCTGGAAAAATAGTCGCATGATGTGGCTTTATATATGAGGTGCCAGGTGAAGCGTGAATGAGATGGTGGACTTACCCTGGGGGTTCTCTGACAGAAGCAGGCTCTGTTGTTTTGAGTTGCTCATATACTGTTATTTCTGTTAAGAATTATGTTCTGGGGGACACGCCTATAGGGGGAATTGATTTAATTAATTAGTGATTTTTTTTTTTGGTGTCATGATTACTTCCTGGGTGTCTGAACGTGTTCCAAAGTAACACTGCTGCTCAAACTGTATGTGCTAGCAGGATAAAAACAGCCATAGCTGTATTCATAGGGAAACGTTCATGAACAGATACTTAGGTTAAACATTGTTCTGGTAGCCATTGTGGTTGATTGTTAGCAAGAACCACATTGTTTGATTGTTTGTTAATGTTAAACAAAATGGTTTTGAAAACTGTTTTCTGTTCAACAGATCCTAGTTTGTGCTTGGAAGCCACAAAGTACTCTGAAAGTATTTTAGAGGGAATTGATATTGATGGCAAAGGAGAAATTGCAGCTATGCATTGCTTTTAGCAGTTCCCTTTCTCAGAAACATTATTTTTGTTGCTCTAAATAAAGCATTGCCTGTCTTGTTTGAGATTTTACAGCCATACTCTGCCGTGTAATGTTATAGTTCTTTTTCTATAAAATGTTATTTTGGGTGATCTAAATAAAGCTTTGCAAGTTTTGTTTGAAAGAAGCAAGAGAAACTTTGCTCTGGCCTTCCCTGTTCTTTTTATTGCAGGGCAGCAGTGGGGTACCCTTCACTCACAACTGTTTCCCTTGTTTTCTCTTTCTCCCCTTTTGTCCCTTGCTTTTTTGCTTTGGCCTCTCTTTTCATCGTGACTGCTGGTGGTTATGAGAAGTCACTGTGACTCTGTGCCAACATGTGGCTGTTCTGTGGGCCCTGATGGGCCCAGCACAGCTTTATCCTTCTCCCAAGTTTACCAGCTGGCGTGCTCTGTAGTCATCCTTGCATCTTCATTTTCCTCGTGCGCATGCCTTTCCCCTCTATGGTTTAGAGCGCTTTCAGTGACTGGAAAGGATACCGATGTCATGAAAGCATTAAACATAGCACTTGTCTTCTCTTAAGGCTCAGTTCAGTTGACTTTAATTTCCAAAGGTCATCAGTCATGAACAACAGGAGCTTCAAGGACTTTTAACTACAAATGGTTCCACTAAAGTGCCTTGTGCATCACTGACTACTAAGATTCACTACCTCCCAGATGGCCTGAGTGTAGACATCTTCCTTTCTGCATTTAGTTGCTAGCGCAGATTCAGGTTTGTGGGGACTGATTGGAACAGCCTTCAAGGTCCTGGTAGGTAAGATTGTTAATCTTAATTGTCGATGTGATGGATTTCGAATCACTGTGGAAGCACACTTTTGGTGTGTCTATGGTACCGATTCAGCAAAGTTTGAACTGAAGAGGAAAGACCTGGCTCGTGGAGTTGCACACGATCAGCACCATGCAGTGGACTGGGGTCTCTGATGCAGTGAAAAGGAGAAAGTAAGTGAGATCCCAGCATTCATTTCCTTCTGCTTCCTGACTGCATGTGTAATGCATATGTATTGCCAGTGGCTTCATGTTCCCGCTGCCACGGCTTCTCTGCCATAATGGACTGGACCGTCAAGCTGTGAGCCAAAGTAAACCCTTTTCTCAGGGACTTTGTCGCAGCAAGCACAAAAGGAGCTGATACACAACATTGGTACTGAGAAGTGGGGCTGCTGTGTGAAGCCTGACCATGTGGGTCATGGGCGTTTGGAACGGGTTTAAAAGTTCAGAGTTTGGAACTTTGAGCCAGAGAACTCTTGGAGTGCTGGAAGCAGAGTTGAATGGGTAGTTCTAGTGGCGTTTTGAAAACTCAGATGCCGAGACAAGAGCGGACAGTGGCGATCTGGCTCGTGGAGTTTTGGAAGGGAAGGAGACTATTGAGAATTGAGCTATTTGGCCATCCATGCCATCAGGGCCATGTCCTGGGAACTTGAGGCAGGCTAGTGTCAAATTTAATGGACTCGTTTGCTTGGTGGAAGAAATCTGAGGCTCGGTTGCATTTGGGCTCTGTCATGTTTACTGACTACTGCTGTCATCCTGGTCTCCAGTGAGGGAAAGCACAAATGGGGTGAAAGAAGACAGACGTGTCAACTTGGTGGGGAAAGAAAGGAGGTTAAAAGTGCAGGCAAGGCAGATGCAGAGAAAACAACTGGAATTAAAAGAGATTAGCAACATTAATGAGAAGCCTTGTGCTCTGTATTAAACATTACTGGAGGTTTTCTGAAAGCAAAACCCCACCCAGTAAACACTCCCTTTTGTGAAAATAAGAATCCATTTGAAAAGAGAAAACCTATAACCTGAGAATATTGCTGAAGGAGTCTCCTACTTCTAGAAAGGAGTTACCCAGGGAACTTTTTCCCCATGGCCCCCACACAAACATCAGTATACTTATAGTCTATGCGGAATTTTGCAAAATGTCACCCACATGGTAGTGGCATACAGATGTGAAAGACGCATGACTGGAGGGGTCATGGAGACGTACACTAGAGTTCCCGGAAGCGCTGAGCAGGCCATGTGTAGCCGGGTTGGAGTCACAGTAGTGAGCCCCGAGAAGCCATTATGTGAAGGTGTGAAAGTGAAATCTAAGCTTCAGTGTGGAGCCCAGAGGTGCCGGAACTGTGGGTCGTCACCGGAGGGAAGCTGCAAGCATGGAGAGAAGTGAGTGAAGACGGAGCTGGAGACCTTGGACCCCCAAAGCCCTTTGAGGCCCGTATGATTCCATCATGAGCTCCAGATGCTGGATATTTAGCTGCAGGATTTGGTGTTGGCCCTGCTGGGTGATGGTCTTTTTTTTTTTTTTTTGGTCTCACCTTTCCTTGTTGTACTCTTCATTCTTCCCTTTAGGAATGGGGATGTTTATTCTTTGCGAGTGTATTTTGAAATGTTGATTTTTCTAGAAGTTTACAAGTAAGAGATTGCCTTGAGTCTCAGATGAGACTTTGGACTGTTTAACACTGTTCGAATTGTTAAAGACTGGGCAGCTTTAGAGAAGGACTAAATGCATCTTGAATTATGAGATGAAAATGATAGATTAGGGGCCAGAGGTGGAATGCTATGATGTAGTGATGTGTTTGGGGGTCAGGTTGGCCTGGGGTAGGTTAGCGATGGTTAATCTTGATCGTCAACTTGGTTGGATTCAGAATCACCCTGGAAACACACCTGTGGATATGTCTCTATGAAGGTGCTTCCAAAGAAGTTTAACTGAAGAGGAAAGACCTACCCTAAAGGTGGGTGGCCAGTTGGGGGTCACAGATGGATCAGAAAGGACAGAATGGAACACCAAAATTCATCTCTGCTTCCTGACTGTGAGCCTTGCTATCGTGACATCCCCCACCGTGATGGACTGTATGTATCGCTTCAAACTGTAAACCAAAATAAACTCTTCCTTCCGGAAGCTGCTTTTGTCACGCATTTTGTTACAGTAATGAGTGGGGGATGCCTAACACAATAGGACTCCCCTTTATTTGGCTCAGGTCGTGCTGGCTTAGGCTTGTGCACCTGCAGTGCGCTCACTGCCTTCACTGCTGAGCTCTCTGCTGCCGGCAGACCCAGGGAGGGAGACGTCACTCCTTCAGTTGTGCACCCACTCTTGCCTGCCAGTGTCCAGCAGCTGCATAGTCCTGATCCAGTTGTCACACAGTTGGCCCTCATTAAACTAAATGGGCCCCCGAACTCAAAGGTGATGAATCTGGGAAAGTAATTGGTACAGGTGTGTGTGTGTGTGTGTGTGTGTGTGTGTGTGTGTGTGTGTGTGTGTGTGACAGGGATGGGGAATGGGTAAGAGAAGATGTGAGATAGAGGACAATTAGAATACTTTATATTCATGTCTGCAATTCTCAAATTACAAATTAATTATTATTTTTTTTAAAGCTGTAATCTAAGCACCCAGGAGGTGGAGAATAGAGGATCAGGAGTTCAGAGTTATCGTCAGCTGTAGCGTAAATTCAGGGACAGCCTGGGCTACATAGAACTCTGTCTTGAGGGAGAGGGATAGGCAATGTGAGGGCAAGGGAAACAGGCTGTGCAAGTTAGAGTAGGTGACATTTTTTTTTAAGTAAAAAGAGGGCTGGGGGATTGTGCAGTCAGTGGCGAAATGCTTGCCCAGCATGCATGTTGTGCAGCCTGTTTCAGTGAACTGCCTGCAAGGACTGGGATATGTTGCCTGCCAGTGTCCCTGCCACAGAACAGTGACAGGGCATCGGCTGGGAGGTTGTCCCAGATAATTGTATCCAGATGGCACATGTGACCAACATGCATCGTGTGACAATCCCACTGAATCCATCTTTCATCACAAGGTGAGGAAGGAAAACAATGAGCCAAAGAGAAGTAATGAGGAAGGGAGAGAAGCTATGGAGCGGAAGGGATGGGGAGATGGCTCAATCAATGACGTTTCCCCTGCACAAACAGGGTGATGTCAGGTCAGATCTCTTGCCACGTGTGTGAAAGCTGAGCGTGTGGTGAGAGGCAGGTGTCTAACATAGGGCAAGCAGGCCCTGGAATTCTCTGACCAGTCTAGCCAAGTGATGAGCAAGGGGTTCCGTGGCTCAAACCAGCCAGGAAGTCACATGACACCAACATTTGACTTCCCTGCATAGATGCACACATTTGCACACACTGGAAACGACAGAAGAGGAAGAAGGGAGGGAGGGAGGGAGGGGAGAAAAGCAGTCTACCCAGGAACCTTACAGCAATGGTGCTCACACTTTGTGGTGGTGCTACAAGTTCAGACTCAGCAAGTAAGGCAGACTTACAGGCAGACTCTGTTCTAAGGAATGCCCTCAGCCTACGTCTTGAAGAGGGCAGTTATCAAATGCCGTGGGAGGGGAGAGAATGTAGGCTATCAGAGATGAGACTGGGAATGAGATTCAAATGTAGATGGTCTTGTGCACATACTTTCTGTATGCTGGCTTTTCCCTCTCTGGACAGCTGCATAAGGACATTATATTTACATAAACAAGGAAATAGACTAGTTAGGGGCCAAAGCAGAATTCAAATTGAGATCTGTCTTGATGCTAAAATTGTGGGCCATCAATTGTTTCAAGTTGAGGAAACACAGTAGTGAAGTTGTATTGGTCAGAGGGCAGTGGAGAGGCTGGGGGATAAATTCAGTCCATCTCGGCAGTCTTTTCACTTTCCCAGCTTCTCCATCCTTCCCACGTGTCCTCCAGAGTTCTTACTGTTGGAAACTGCCATCTGCTCGGCCATTTGCTTCATTCTGCTCTTAAAGAAATAGGCCTCTTTTTTTTTTTTTTAAGTTTAGGCTTTATTGTTTGCACAGTGAAAAAAAACCTTTTTCCAATTCTAAAATTGGAGGACTGATTGTGAAAGAAATAGATTACATTTGTAGAGGATTTAACCACACTCCTGGAGTTATTTTTTTCTTTTTAAATATTTTACATTTATTTCTGTTTGAGAAGAGAGAATATTTTATTATTAATATTTTATACTTATTTTTACCGTGTATTGCATGAGTGCATGCGTATGTGCATGCATGCTCGCGCACACGCGCATATGTGTGTGTGTGTGTGTGTATGCGCATGGGGGTCACAGGATAACTTTTGGGAGTCTATGCTCTTTTCACCATGTAGACTCCAGGCATTGAATTTAAGTCATTAGGATCAGTATCAATTGCCTTCACCCCCCTGAG